GGGGGGGGGGGGCAAGCAATTAGCGGGGACAAGAGAGCGCCGCCGTAACATTTGATTGGAATGTCTTGGTGGCGTGGCCCGGAGTAGGGTCGTGCTGGTGGGAGAGCGGGTAGCCGACCATCAGCGGATTGAGTCGAGGCGCCACGGGGACGGTATGCACTGACTTGGATAGCACCGGGGCCCCGGTCATTACAACAGCGCCAGTGGGGAGGGGGGGGAGGGGTAGTATTGGCGATGGCGGAGTTCGAGGTGGTGGGAGGAGTGGTGGTGGTGGTGGTGGTATGGGCCCGCTGCTGCTAGTGGCGCTGCTGAGCATTAGTAATGGATGTTGTTGATGGCGTGGAATAATTGCGTTCACGGCTTTAATTTTTCGAAGTCCTGCGCTGCGCGCGCGAGAATTGACAAACAAAATGGTAGGTAAAACTGCACACACGCCAAAGTCAATTAAACCATCGCATACCCGCCACGGCGAAATCCCTATCGACGCGCACTATAGGTACCGCTGCTACAATGCCGAAGCTCGCGCAAGCTCGGGAGTTTGGAAAGGGGGTGAGGAAGGGATAGAGACTGAGCAGAGGTGCTTCGGTTTGTTGTGCACGAGATTAGAGCATGGCCCAGCCCAGCGGCAGCCTGCCTGCTGGTTCGTCCCGCAACAAATCGAGTGGACGGAGACAACTCCACGAAGCAGAAGGGACACGGGCCGGGCAGACGGACGGACGGACGGCGGACTTGTGTGCGCGCTAACCAAGCCGGGACACCCAAATCCCCCTCCAGCCGTGCCGAGCGTCCCAGCCAGCCGGCCCAGAGTAACCAGGGTCCCCTGGGGCGCTCCCCCCGCCCCGCCACGGCGCGCCACCCCGACACAGCAAGGCCTTCCAGGATCGCGCCGCCTTGATTTCTTGATTGCTGCAAATCCAACGCGAATTCAAACGACGACGACGACGAACACGGCCGCCTCCGGTCGTCGAACAGGCAGGCCTCTAATGACGGCCATGGGACGCCAGGCGAGCGGCGCGCCCGACCACGACACTCTCACCCGGCCAGTGGTGGCAGCAGGACGGTGGGAGTAGTCGGGGCAGGGCGGGGCGCCGGGAGGACGGCCCGGACCCGGCCCCGCCGGGGAGGACGGGACCCCTCAATGAGCAGGCATTCCACAGGAACTTGGCCCCTTTCAGGAGTTCCCTCGTAGCGCCAGGCACTTGCGCAAAGTGAGCGCTATATCGGAAGTCTGTTGACCCTGGCGGCGGAGGAGAGGCGCGGCAGGAGGGAAGCGTGGGTGGCGGCCCGTCCCGGCCGCAGCCCGCCCCGCCCCGCCTCGGCAGTGATGTCAGAAGACTTTGGACCCGGCCCGCGCGCGCCCGACACGCCCAACTGCGGCCCCCCGCCACCCTCAAGCCCGGCAGGTGACTGCACTGATACGCCAGCGCAGCACAAAACTCGCGGCGTCCGGACAAAGGAAAATATGGCGCGCCTTGACTTAGAGCTCGCGAGATCGAGATGGGAGAAAGTATAGTAGTAGTAGCAGTGGTGGTAGAGTACTAGCACGACTAGAACTCCCAAGCGTTCTTTAAATCCTACTATCATCGAGGATTCGAGGATGCCGCTCACTTTGTACACCCAGAAAAAATGTGTCCACCATTCTACCCGATTCTAATACAGAGTTGTACGAAATCCAAAAAAATCTATCAAATTTGCGTTGGAGAGAGAGGACATTGCACTTGTTGAGGTGGGACCATTGGGAGCCAGCCTCCCCTCCTCGCTTCCCTCTCATCAAGTTAGGGAAGTGGACTTGAATCAAGGGTGAAAATGGTATAGATTCAAATGATCCACTTTTTTTCTGAGTGTATACATAACAGGTACGATCGGAGCCGCGCGTGTGTTCTCTCGGTGACTGGAGGCACACACCGCCAGTAGGCAAATGTTGATTTTGTACGGATCTCTCGACAGACGGAGGACGGACTGACACTCGTGTCGGGATCGGGGGTAGGAAGGGGAAGGGGAGAGCGTGGGGAAGGGAAGAAGGGGGAGGGGGGCGATCGGCGCGCGCGAACAAGCAAACAGAAAATGAACGGAAGGGGGAGCCGGTGATGGGGTTTCCTCGCTCTTCAGGAGGAATGAGGCCGAGCTCCGCCGGCAGACCCGACGCACAGCAAATCCATTACATCTACTCGAAAAACAAGTAACAGATCGCTCAAGCAGGTTATTGTTGGCCGGCTCTGTTGTTCCTGGTGAAAGAAGAATAAAATAAAAACAATGAAAACTAATTAATCGCGGTGGAGGGAAAATAAGAGAGAAAAGGATAATCGAATACGATTGAATCTTCAATTCATCATCAAACGTACAGTGTACAGTACAGCCGTTTGGCTAACTTTGTTTTTTTATTTGCCCTTGACCCTCAACGAAGGAAAAATCCCGACCATTTATTTGCGTGGAAAAAAAAACTGCACGAGAGAGGAGTAAACAGTAAAAGGGTCCGTATATCTTTCAATTGGAATCCCTGTTTTGGCGTGGGCCGTGTCTACGTATCACTCATGTGATGTGCGCGCAGAGCAAACGAACGGCCCTATCCCGACCCACCGCCAAACCAACCTGCAATCGTTCCAAATAAATTTCGTATTTTTTTTTCTCGTCGACAACTTTTCGCGCACGCCAGAGTGGAACCGAGCGCAATAAATCCAACTGTATGTATTTATGGGTGTAAACAAAGAAAGCCGGCAGGGAACTGCCAATACGCTGCCTGGGAATTAACGCCAACACATTCATGGGACGAGAGGAAGGTCCAGCGCCAAGGCCCCCCTCCCCCGCTCCGGGCCCGCCCAGCAGCCCGCCCCGGCCAGTACAAACACGGAGGGAGCATCCCCAGTAATTATACACTTCGTTCACTTCATTTAGACCTGCCCGGCCCCGGCGTGCGCTGGCCGGCCCCCGCCTGCGCCCGACGCGCCCAAAGGGAGAGCAAAGCATGCGCGAGAGAGAAGCAGCCGGGCAAAGGGGGGGGGGGGAGGGCGTTTAAGCCCGTCGGCCTGCCTGCACCGTTAATGGGATCACATCAACGTGACAGTCACTCTGAAATAAGCAATGCCGCAAGCGAACGCAGTTTCGCCGAAGCACCCCGGGGCTGGGCGGCGCGCGGGACAGGCGCGCGGGAGGAAGGGGACAGAGCCCTCTGAATACAGCGCCCTACTTGCCTGCCCCCCCC